TTCAAGTCGGTAACACTAGTGGAAAGTTGTACAGCCGATGTTGAGAAAGAAAGCTCGTCTGTGATGATTTTTTTTTCGTCCGACTAAATTCATTTTACATCTCGTCTGAAAAAAGTCTGTAATTTTATTTTGTCTATAATCAAGTTAGTGATCAGTTTCTGAGTCTTCAAACTGATTCCCACACAAACGAACATTTTCAGTGCACTTGCCGGAAACAATTACAATTACAACAAGTTTTCGCCGGTGTAAATGGCAAATTCTTTAAGAATAACTGCAGCAAATTTATGAGCAACGAATTGAGTAGGTTTTTTACAAGCGCACCCCTCCGCAAATGTCAGAACTGGCACTACTGTTGTGTCGCCCATCAGATGCCGAATTCCTGAACAACTTTCTGGATTGCTCACCCGTTGCAGGAATGCGCAAATTAGATAAGAAGAGCGGGGAGGGAAACGAAGACGATAATTAGTGGTGAGCAATAGCGCTGTGCGGTCACTCACTGGCGATAATTTATTTTCATGTGCTTTATTCCTTTTATCCGCATTTTGCGTTCTCACCCTCCCCTCCTCCCACCCCCGGTCCCTTTATTTCACCTTTTCCTCGCTTTGATGTATACGCCTCTCCACCGCATCTTCCATACTTTCACATAAATTTTCAATATTGTATTTTGCAAGGCAGCCGCACTTTGTGGACTATAAATACGGCATGTGATAGTAGCCGGAGAAAAGAGAAACAAAAAGGGTTGAAAGCGAGTCTGCCTGATCCGGGCAGTCTCAGCCTAACCGAATGCATTTGGGAATGTTGGATTTCCACAAATTCGCGCCAGCATGGATACTTTCGCAGCGAAGTAAGGGGTATAGCTATCGAAAAATCCCGCATTCAGCTGTGCGCGAAAATTCTGTCACCAAATCTGTCTGAGTGACCTTGCTTAGTGCATTTCTAAAAATAGCGTATGCCGGAAATACAAACAAAAGGGGGACCGATTTTTGGCGACTGATGGCTTCCGGATGTTCATGACGCAACCAAAGGCAATGAATAGCAGTCCTGATTTTACAGCAAGCTCAGCCGCCGAAGGGAGATAGTGTCGGCCTGCTAGAACACGTATGTGCAGCGCGACTGCGATATTTCATTAGAATTGTGTGACATTACGCACCCATCATGAGGTACCCTGTAATCTTTGACCGCTACAAACAGTACTGACCGCCAGAAATCTCCTTTTGTTCTCACCGCCATTACTGCCGCCACCGATACAAATGAGCTGGACAAAACGCTGACAAGCACTTGCGGCAAGGACGTGTCAGTTTTCGAGAGGACAAATTCAGCTGCCTAGGCTGCCTATGCCTTGCATTTTTAATTTTCCCATATCGTGCAACATCAAGCTGTTTTTGTAGGATACGAAAAAAGGGCTTCACTACTCAGTTTTTAGCTTATCTTTCAGATTTTGACGCCACCTACCTAGCGCGAAACCCTTTGTTTTTCTTTGTGCTAATCACTGTCTTGAATAACATGTATAGCAAGTCTGCTTGGATGCTCTATTTTTACCCTAGAAGCGCTTGTCTTTTTTTTCCACCCTTCTTAAGTCCAGCACTTTTGCTGTTCTCAAAAACTTTCTCATTTTCTGCACTCTTTTGCTAACAGAACTGGATCTAAGAAATTGTCCATTTTCAGGTGGGCATGTCACTTCGATGACGATAACTATGTAAATGTAGCTGAATTGGTCCAACTTTTAAATAAGCTCGATCACAAGCAAGACTGGTATCTTGGAAGGCCGTCGACTGTGGGACCTGTCGGCTTTGATTCTACACCAGAAAATGCATGGATTCTAACTTGCTTCTTTTTTTCCCTCTTGTCATTTGACGAAACGTTTATGCCTAGAAACAAGGACAAACTTTTTAGCCATGAACAAGCTGCACATTAATTTAATTCTGGCAGTGTCAGAAGTTTTATTGTTTTTCGAAAAAATTAATTTTTGAGAATTTTTGAGTCTTCCGACCAAGACATAACACGAGGGCAAGAAAATTTCAGTTGTTAACCATAATTTCGTGTACAAACGTGTGCAAAATTTCAGTCAACTTAGTATTTTCACCCAGTTGAGGATCTTAAAATTTTTTGGCTTTTGATATCGTTTTATGAAATTCTTGTGTATTAAGAAATTAAACTAAAACAAAATTTTTTCGATTTCTTTCTTGAATTGTTTCAACGAAACAATTGCAGGCGAAATTCTGGTTTGCAACAGGGGGAGCCGGCTTTTGCCTCTCCAAATCGCTACTTGCAAAAATGAGTTCCTATGTTCGGAATGGTGGTTTTAAAGAAATTGGTGAATATCTTCGGTTGCCGGATGACGTCAGTCTCGGATATCTTATTGGTGAGGAGCAGTTCTATTTTTCTAAAGCTCCTGGCATTTCTTTATAACTGGTTTTTTGAAATTTCTGCTTTGCAAAATTAAGAAAACCAGAAATTACCC